CACCCCTCGCACGTTTCGTGGCCCCACAGGAACGAACCTCCGCCGAAGGAACCAGCGGCAGGGTTCGCATGGCGGCCCCGCCACCGATTTCGGCACACTCTCACACGTTTCGTGGCCACAGGGAGCTCCACCGAAGGCCCCAGTGGCAGGGTTCGCATGGGGGGCCCGACTCATTTCGGCACACCCCTCGCACTTTTCGTGGCCCCATGGGGAGCTCCACCGAAGGCCCCAGTGGCAGGGTTCGCATGGCGGCCTCGCCCCATTTTGGCCCAGTCCGCACACGTTTCGTGGACCCATAGGGCGCTCCACCGAAGGCCGCAGTGGCAGGGTTCGCATGGCGGGCACGCCCCATTTGGCACAGTCCGCACACGTATCGTGGCCCCATAGGGAATTCGCATGGCGGCCCCGCCCCATTTCGGCACACCCCTCACGTGCTTCGTGGCCCCATAGGGAGCTCCACCTCAGGCCCCAGCGGCAGGGTTCGCATGGCGGTCCCGCCCCATTTCGGCACACCCTTCACATGCCCCATGGCCCCCTAAGGAGATCTACCTAAGGCGATGCTCACAACCGCGGTACTCACAGTTGCACGAGGTTGGGTCCTTTGCCAGGATAAGTTTTGGACCTCTTGAGGGGCGCCCTCGCGGTCACGGCGGGAGCCGCCTCGACATTCTGGCCAGACGCAGCACGGGCATGCCCTTTCTGTGCTTCTGGCCAAAAGCACAGAAAGGAGTCCATCCCCGAGTTTGAAGGCTGACGGAGGGAGGCAGCTTTACTCAGGGCTTCCTGGAGCTTCCTCGTTGCCACGGCTGGATTCCCTTAGGACATCGGGCGATAACGCATCCTGGGACGGGTCGGGAGGGCATGGGCCAGAAGCGCGCCCAGATTCAGAGGAGAAGCGCATGCTGATACCAATGCCCTTCCATTTTTTTGGGGGGGGCTTTTCTGGTCCTTTTGGGGGGCTCTCGCCGCCGCGGCTGGATTCGCTGCGAATTCCGTGTCTGAACGCATCGCGGGAGAGGTCCAGGGAGTAGCGGCATAGATATCTCTTCAGGTCCCCCGTCAGGCGTCCAGACCTCGAGGCTCGAGGCTCGAGGACCGATGCTTCTGCACGCTTTTTGGCCCTGTGTGGGCCTCTGGGGCCGTCCTCGTCGCCACGGCTGGATCCGCCTCCGAATCCCTGTCGGAGCGCACCCCGGGAGTGGCCCGCGATGCAAGCGGTATCCATACCTGTGTGTTTCCTGGTCCGGCGTCGTTTTCCCCAGAAGGCATGGGCCAGAAGCATGCGCAGACCTCGAAGATCGAGGATCGAGGTTTCTGGCCGTTCGTCACGGGCCTCTGGGGCCGTCCTCGTCCTCCGCTTCGGGATCCCTGTCGGAACACGCCCTGGGAGCGGTCCTGCTAGCAGCGGTATCGATGCCTTGCTTCTTCCGCCGCCGGGCGTCGTTCTCCCCCGGTAGGCATGGGCCAGAAACGCATCGAGGGTCGAAGCTTCAGCGCCCTGGACCCCCCTGGCGGCGCCTCCGGCGCTGCCCCTGGCGCGCTCCGCGCGCCAGGGAGGGGGGTCCAGCGCGGATCCAAGAAATCCGAGGTTTTATGTGTATGTAATTCTTCGTTCCCCTCCAGGTGCCCCCCGCCTTTTCGCTTCATTTTGGAGCCCCTGGGGTTCTAAGCATCCTGGATGGGGTCCGAGCAGGTGGGGTCGGAGGATCGCGCCGCATCGTCGATGCATCGGCGATCCGGCTCGGTGCGGAGCACGATTCTCTCCACGCTTGCGCCACCCCTGGCGCGCCAGGGAACGGGTCCAGCGCAGGTCCAGGACGTCCGTGCGGACCCTCGGGAGTGCACGCTTGTTGCCCAGACCTCACGGCCGCCTCTCCGGAGGAACAAAAAACACACGGACACAATGAATCGTCGATTCGCAGGAGAGTATGGGCAAATATGGGAAGTGTGGGGGGGGGAGACAAAGACCCAGAACATATGGGAAAATATGGGGAATCCTGTCATTTGTGTGTATGTCTTTCTGTGCCCCAGGGCCCCTTGAGCCTCCGCCGACCCTGAGAAGGGAACCGCTCGGGCGCCGAGAGGCTCGGGCGGGGGGCAGTGGCGGCCTCCGTGCGAGGGGCCCGGGCCCCGGCGTCCCGATCTTGCGCACAGCGTCGATGCCCAGAGGCCTCGATCCGTTCCCCGGGCCTGGTTTTTCATCTCGAGTAGTTCGGGGGCGGCAAAGAGGGGGGTGATGACTTGGGGGGGGATATCATGGCGTGGGCCATGATATTTCCCCAGATTTCATGGCGCCTCTTCTTGTTTTAATGCGTCCCTGGCCCCCCCGCTGGGCCGCGCACATGCCGCCGGTCATGATTTGCACCCCCCCCTCTTGGACACCCCCCTCTTGGCCGCTCCCGAGTAGTCTCTGACAGCCCCGTGAGGGTCCCCGGGAGGCTATCCCTCGTCTTCTCTTTCCTCTACCCCGTCTCTGTCTTGTTTTGCCCGAGTCCTCACTGTTCCCCTCTCGATGCACCTCTCGCTGATGTTCCCCTTCCTCCTCTTCTCTTTCATGAGGGCGCCGACCACGTGTTGACGCCGATCCTGGCGAGGATCGGCGTCGGTGTATCATTCGTGCCCGAAACGGGCCCAGAGCCGCCCGTCTGGACCTTGTCGCGACGCGCTGGGGATCTGGGGAGCGGGCCGGTCTCCTGCAGGCCAATGACCCGGACACCCGCCGAGGAGATTTTTTTCCAAGCCGCGGCCCCCGGCGTCCCGATCCCTTCCCCCAGGACCAGTCTTTCGCCCTGGATTCGTTTCTGATGGTCTTGCAGGGGCCCAGTGACGGCCGCCGGCAGCCGAAATATTTGAAAAAGGGGCAGAAATTCAAGCATCACATCCCTGCCAGCCCGCCTGTCTCACACCATTTCTGGTGCGCTCGCTTGCGGAGGTCGCTGTTGCCAGGATGTCCGCTCCGCTTTCCTCTCCTCCAAGACCAAAAATGGGAAACTAGGGGAACGAATAATGACATAAACATAAAAACTCGGAGGTCCGCGCGGATTTCTTGGATCCGCGCCGGACCCCCTTCCCTGGCGCGCGGAGCGCGCCGGGGGCGGGGCCGGAGGTGCTGCCCGGGGGCCCCAGCGCCGTTCCGAGAAGTCCGCGTGGACCTCGGAGTGATGATGCTCGTGCCAGTGTTCGCTCCCCCTGGACAAAACATCAGATCGTCGGAGCTCTGGCGAGCCCCCCGCGGCTCGAGCCAGCCGGGGCCGGGCGGCCCCCAGGGCCATGCCGCGCCGCGGGGACGCGCCGGGGGAGCCCGCGGGCCCCTCCCGGGCGCCGTCCCTCGGCGGGCCGGCGGGCCGCCCTCGGGCGCCATGGGCAGGCGACTCGCCGCCAGGCGGGGGCAGCACGTCGCCGCCGGGTCGGGGGTTGGAGGAGCTAGGGGAGGAGTAGTAGTAGGAGGAGGAGGAGGAGGAGGAGGCGGAGGCTAAAGGTGCCCCTGACCCAAGGTTAGGGGAACGAATGACAGAAACATAAAGCTCGGAGGTCCGCGCGGATCTCTCGGATCCGAGTTTTTATGTTTATCTCATTCTTCGTTCCTCTCAAGGTGCCCGCCGCCTTTTTGCTTCATTTTGGAGCCTCTGGGGTTCTAGGCATCCTAGATGGGGTCCGAGTAGGTGGGGTCGGAGGATCGCGCCGCATCGTCGATGCATCGGCGATCCGGCTCGGTGCGGAGCACGATTCCCTCCGCGCTTGCGTCGCCGATGCATCGCCGATGCCGCCGATGCGTCGCCGACACATCGGCGATGTATCGCCGATATGTCGGCGATGCGGCGCCATCCTCCGACCCCGTGTGCTCCGACCCCATCTTGAAGGCCTCTGCTGGGGCCCCCTGGGCCTCGCGAGGGGTGCTCGGCAGGCCGTGGGGGCCTCCCTGGAGATCCTGGGGGCACCTCCTCCTCCTCCTCCTCCTCTCCCTCCCCCTCCTGCCCCTCCTCCTCCTCCTCCTCCTCCTCCTCTTCTTCGTCTTCTTCTTCTTATTATTCTTCTTATTATTTTTCTTCTTCTTCTTCTTCTTCATCTTCTTCTTCTTCTTCTTCTTCTTCTTCTTTCTCCTCCTCCTCCTCCTCCTCCTCCTCCTCCTCCTCCCCCTCGTCCACCTCCTCCTCCTCCGCCTCTCCTCCTCTCGCAGCACCCGGCCGTGGAGGACGCGCGGGTCCTGAGGGACACTCCGAGGAGGAAAAGGTACTGCTGCCGCTACCTTTCCCCCGTATTCGCCTCGAGGGGCCTCCTGGGAGGCCCTCGTCGCCACAGCCGGATTCGCCTCGAAATTCTGGCCAGGACGCGACCAGGGAGAGGTCCAGGGGGAGTAGCGGTATTGGCATCTTTCGGCTTCCCCATTTTATGTTTGGGCTCTCCGGCCGCCGAGACGCGACTCAGGCTGAGGAGCTAGGAAAAGAAGCTCTGGGGTCCAGGAGGAAACGTTTCCCTCATGACTCTTTTCTTTCATGGTGCAGTGAGCTGCTCGACCCTATTAGAGCGAGCTGCTGGATCTCCGCCCAACACTAGCGAGCGAGCGAGCTGCTGGCGCTCTGCTCGGCGGTCTCACTCGGGAAGCAAGGGCGATGACGGTCCTGCGGCAGGGTTGCCTGTCGTCTCCCCGGCACGTTACACGTGATGGTTGCATGCGGGCGTGCGCGTTGTCTCCCTCTCGCCTCTTCCTCCCTCTTCTCCAAAATAGCGCTGACAAAAAAAAAAACTCTTTTCTTTCATGGCAAATGTCGATCCGATCGATCCGATTCGATAGCGGTTCCGCCCAGCCCGATCCGATCCGATCCCGACATTCCGGCGATCCGATGCGGCCCGATGCCTCGCATGGCGCTGGGGTGCATCCTGGCGCGGCCGCTCCGAGTCGATTCCGATCCCGGGCCGAGGCGGCCCGGTTCGACACACGTCTCGACCCGATCCGATGCCCCGATCCGATCTGACCCGAGGCGATGTCCCGATCCCCCCAGGGGGCCGGGGAACTGGCCGTGCCCGTTCTGGGCGGGGGAGCTGGACGACTGGCTGCTGCCCCCCGTGCTGGAGTGGACCGACCCGGGCGGGGGCGTCTCCATCCAGTTCCAGGCCACGTTCGTGCAGCCCGAGTGCGGCAGTCGAGGAAGAAACATCTGCATACATACAGTGGGAGCGCGCATCAAGAAACCATCTGCTTTTCGTCAGGGTACCCTGGGTTTCTTTGCTCCGCGCGCTGCGCGGTGGCTTTTCGTGGCCGTTTACAGGAGCTGCTGCGTTCGGGTTGCTCTGGGCTCCCCTTGATTTGCACCTCGCGCCTGCGGGTTTCAGGGCTGGGTTTCTTGCGAGGGTTTCTTACGGCCGCGCCCGCACTGTATAACAAACTTTTGGAGGAGCTCGGCGCGAGTGTGTGTCTCGGCTCGGCGCCGGGCCCCCCCCTGGCGCCCGGGGGGCCCGGCGCCGGGCCGAGGAGTCCGCGCGGAGTTCTGGCAGTTTGTGCTTGTGCTCGTCGTTGCTCCTCGCAGGCAAGCGGATCAACTCCGGCGTCTGGCCCTGCGGCCGCGGCGGCGCCGCAGATCTGCCGCTGGTGTTCTTCTTCGGCGGCATGGACTGCCCGCCAGGCTTCAGTCGGGCCTGTCCCCCTACAGAGGGATTTTCAACGAAGAATAAGAAATCCCCCAAACATAGTCAACAGATAGTCCAAACATAATCTGGGGACTACTTTTTGATTATTTTCTGACCTTTTTGGGGTATTTTGGGGGTATTTTTCCATTTTTCGTCGACAATCCCCCTGTAGGGGGACAGGCCCGACCTGACGCTAGGCATGGAGGGCTTCGGGCTCCGGAGCTTCGCGGCCTCGTCTCCGCTGCCCTGCGTCCTGGTCTGCCCGCTCCGCCCGAGGGGCACGTGGTGGGTGCTGGACGCGGGCGGGGACTTCGGCTACATCGACGGGCGGCTCCGGCCGGAGGTGGTCGAGGCGTACGCCGCGTGGATGCGCTTCCTCGGTCGCGCCGCGCGAGAGGAGGGGGAGGCAAACGCGTACCGATATCGAATCGGATCGGCGGTTGCCAGGAGGAAGACGGGTCCTGAGGGAAAGGTCTCCTGGACCCTGGGGCGTCTTTCCCCAGCTCCTCCGCCTCTGAGTCGCGACCTGGCGGCCGGAGAGCCCAAACATGCGAAAATGGGGAAGCCGAAAGATACCAATACCGTTAAGGCGGGTTTGTCCCTCTACAGGGGGAATATTCAAAAATAGCCAAAACATAGTCTGGGGACTATTTGTTGAGTATGTTTGGGCATCTTTTGAGCATTTTTGGAGTATTGTTTATTTTTTGTCGAAGGTCCCCCCTGCAGGGGGACACGCGCGACGTGACAATGCCGCTGCTCCCCCCGGACCCCTCCTGGGGCGCGTCCTGGCCAGCATCTCGAGGCGAAGCCGGCGGTGGCGACGAGGGCCTCCCAGGAGGGCCAGAACGGCCCACTGCGAGGGAAGTGCAACTGCATCGTTTTTTGTACATTTTTTTATTGTATTTTTTTTTCTGCCTCGTGCAGTTTTTTCTTTCCTCTTCTTTATTCTGCCTTGTGCTTTTTTGTCTGTTTGTTTGCTTTCTTCTCTCTCTGAGAGTTCCGAGGCGTCTTGTGCCCTGTGCCTGGAATCTCGAGGCGTCTCGTGCCTTTTTTTGTTGTTGTTGTTTTCTTCCTCCTCCCACTTCCGTGCCCCCCTCGCCCTCGCCCCCCTCCCCCCTCTCCCTCCCGTCCTTCGCCCCCTTCCCCACGCCCCTGTTCATCGTCCCGGCGCCCGCTGCCTCTCCCTGGCCCTTCCCTTCCCTCTCTGTCTCATATTTTTTGTTGTTGTTCTCTCTCCTCTCTCGCTCTGAGAGGAGGGCGGCGTCGACGGCGAGCGCCTGCGGGCCATGGGCTTCTCGGCCGGGGCCTACGCCCTGACGGAGCCCGCGGGCGAGCAGCACGGCCGCAGGTGGCCACGGCCCCGCGAGCCGCAGCCACTCGGGGCGGGCGCGGTGCGTTTCTGTGCGGGGATGCCCCGCGCGGAAGGCACAGCTGGGGCCCATCAGCCACGCGCAGAGGGGGGTGGGGGGAGGGGGGAGGGCTTCTTAGAAGCACCCCTGCTTCTTAGAAGGCGCGGGCTTTATCTATAGATGTGAGGCCGGCGCCCTCTGAGAAGCAGCCCCCTTCCAAGAAGCCCCTCCCCCCTCCCTCCACCCCCTTGTGCGCGCCGCCAAGCCCATGCCAAGAAGCACCCTGCTCGCCTCCAGGGGGCCTTGGGTTTCTTGGGTTTCGCTGGTTTCGCGATGGGGAGCGTGACTTTCGCACCAAAAATCAAGGGGCGCCCTGGGGTCTCAGGGTTGGGTTTCTTGTGGAAGGTTTCTTGTGGTAAGGCCCCTACTCTATCCGGGCGACCGCGTACCGGCGGGATCGCGCCCTGGAATCCAGACCGCGAGGGCGTGGATACGGTAGGTTCGTGTCGCGTCGACTCGGCGACGATCCCGCCGCGGGCGTTCAAGGCTGAACGCTGCCAGTGGCCCAGAATTGGCCAGTTCTAGAACGATCTGGCGATGGAACAGCCGCCGATCATTCAAGGCTGAACGATCCACGCGGTGGTAGAAACCAACGCCGAAGTAATCAAGACACGAACCGTGGAGATATGGACATGGACGACGACGACGACGACGACGACGACGACGACGACGACGACGACGACGACCGCCGCTCGTGAGGAGATCCTGGCGGCCAGCCGCGAGCCCCTGGTCTGGTGCCTGGCGCTCGGCGGCCTGCACGGCCACGGCCAGCCCGAGGCAGAGGGCATCGGCGAGGGCTGGCGCCGGCAGAGCGCCGTGGAGAATTTCGGCGCGTACCTGGAGCGCGTCGGGCGGCACCCCGGCGTGCCGGGCGGGCTCTTCTCGGCGGGCGCACGGCGGTGCAACGCAGCATCCCGCAGCGGGAGGGTGGTAATCAAGCAGTGGCGAAGCGTCCTGGCTCGCATATAGCCCTACCAAACCATGTTCTAAGAACCTCTTGTGGTTTCCACGAATGTTCTTAGAACTTTTCTAGCTGGGGCTGTCTTGGTTTCGCACATCAGGTTTATGTTCTAAGAACACTGTTTCTGTTCTTCGAACATTTTTTGGGTTCTACGAACATTTCGTGGTAGGACGATAGGAATGCCGGGACGGTCGATCCCTGCTCAAGGTAAGTGGGGGGGCCCACAGGGTGGGGTGAAGAAGCGGGGCCCCAAAGGTGACCCCTTGGAGGTGGCCCCTGCTGGGCACCCGCCGGCTCCCACAGGAGGGCCCCAAAGGGCCCCTTTGGCCCTCAGGGTCTCTTTTTCTCTTCACCCCTCATTTTGGCCCCCCCCCCCCCCCCTAAAGGGCTAAAGGGGCCCTGAGGGCTAAATAAGAGGGCTCTTTTTCTTAGGGCTAGGGGCCCCTGAGGGCTAAAGTCGTCCCCCCACCCTTAGGGCTCTTTTTCTTCCCCCCTCACTCTTTCTCTTCACCACTCATTTGGGCCCCCCCCCATGACCACCCGCCCGAGACAAGAGTGAGGGGGTCGCGGGTGCGTCGCGGGCGGGTCGCGGTGTTGGTCACGGGTCACGGGTGGGTCGCGGGCGGGTCGCGGGGCGGGTCGTGGGGCGGGTCGCGGGGCGGGTCGCGTGTGGGACGACGACAACAACAACCCAACAACCCGCACCGAGGAGCCCCACTTCAGCCAGGCGCCCAGGGACAGTCAATGACGTGTATTTCCCTAACAGCGTGTCGCTAGAGAGTTCCGATTCCCCAAACAGTGCTCGCACTTAGGGCACCCTACTTCTGCCTGCAGAACTGGGCCTGTGTGGCGGTCTGGCGGCTCTGTAATTCTGCTGTCGGCGTCGCCGCCCCGTCGCCGCCTCGTCGCCGCCCGTCGTCTGGGCCGATGTGGCAGTCTGGCGGCTATGTTGTCGCCGTCGCCGCTCCGTCGCCGCCTCGTCGCCGCCCGTCGTCTGGGCCGGTGTGGCAGTCTGGCGGCTATGTTGTCGTCGTCGCCGCCCCCGCCGTTGCCGCTCGTCGCCGCCGTTCGACTGCACCACGTAGGCTGCACAGCATAGATCACACAACGTAGATTATCCTTTCTGAAACGAGAGTAGACTCACCCCCCCCCCCGGACTTATCGCTTCCCCCTGGGATAGTATGATTTCGTATATTTTCTGCACATTCGTCCATCCTAAATATGAAATCATACCATCCCAGGCAGGCCGGGTTCCCCCCCTCCTGAGGTTCCCTTGTAACAAACATTATGCGGTGACATTTTTGGTTTTAACATGACACTTTTTCGCGAATCCCTTGGACAAAAATAGGACGACGTGCACACGCGCGCGTCGTCGCGCGCGCATGCCGAAATCCTTCTCAAACCTTCGGTGCCGGAAGGATTTTGCAATCGAGTTTCCAAAAAAATACAAAAACACAGGGCTTCGCAACACTGATTTGCTAAAAAAGCTTCCGCGCGAGCTCTTGCGAAATCTTAAGAAAACCATAGGTTTTCTCAAGATTTTCACAAAATGCTACCAAAAGGGCTTCGCGCGCGCGCATGTCGAAATCTGTCGAACGCCCTTGCGCGTGTGCCGTCGCGAGAATCCTCTGCAAAAAATGGGACGAAGTGCAGACGCGCGCGTCGTCGCGGGCGTATGCCGAAAACCTTCAAAACCCATCGGTTTCGGAAGGATTTCAAAATCGTGCGTCCAAAAAACCTACAAAAACCCAAGGTTTCGCAACACGGATTTTCAACAAAAGCGTGCGCGCGCGCTCTTGCGTCGTCGTCGTCGTCGTCGTCGCCGTCCTCCCTCCTCCCGCGTCGTCGTCGTCGTCGTCGTCTACGTCGTCCTCTGTCTTTTCTCGTGTTCGTCGTCGTCGTCCTCTTTGGCGTCGTGGTCGTTTCCGTCGTCGTTGTCGCCGTGGTCGTCCTCCTCCTCCTCCCACGTCGTCGTCGTCGTCCGTCGTCGGCGTCTCGTCGTCGTCCCTCCTATTTCGTCGCCGTCGTCGTCGTCGTTGTCGTCGTCGTCTTCCCTCCTCCCCGTCGTTGTCGTCGTCGGCGTCGCCGTCCTTCCTCCTTCGTCGTCGTTCGCGTCGTCGCCGTCCTCCCTCCTCCCTCGTCGTTGTCGTCGTTGTCGTCGTTGTCGCCGTCGTCGTCCTTCCTCCTCCCTCGTCGTCGCCTTCGTTGGCGTCGTCGTCGTCGTCGTCTTCGTCGTCGTTGGCGTCGGCGTCGTTGTCGTCGTCGAAGTCGTCGGAGACGTCGTCGGTGTCGTCCTAGTCGTTGTCGTCGGTGTCGTCGTAGTCGGTCTGAAGAGGTTTTGCAAACCAAGTTGCGGCTGGGTGGGTGGGATGTTTGCGCGAGCAGTGGAGATGACGACTTCAAGTTCAGCAGAGTGGATTCTCCTTTCTAGAAAGGAGAATAGACTCTACCCCCCCGGACTAGTAGGTTCCCCTTTCGGGTATGATTCTGACCACTCGTCGATCCTAAATATGAAATCATACCATCCCAGCCAGGCCGGGTTCCCCCCCCCCTGAGGTTCCCTTGTAAAAAAGCACTATGCGGTGACATTTTTTGTTCTAACATCGCATTTTTTCACGAATCCCTTGCAAAAAATATGAAGAAGTGCACACGCGCGCGTCGTCGCGCGCGCATGCCGAAATCCTTCAAAAACCTTCAGTGCGGGAAGGATCTCGCCATCGAGTTTCCAAAAGACGTACAAAAACACAGGGCTTCGCAACACTGATTTGCTAAAAAAGCTTCCGCGCGAGCTCTTGCGAAACCTTAAGAAAAACATAGTTTATTTTTTTTGTTTTTCAAGATTTTCACAAAACGCTACCAAACGGCCTTCGCGCGCGCATGTCGAAATCTGTCGAACGCCCTTGCGCGTGTGCCGTCGCGAGAATCCTCTGCAAAACATGGGACGAAGTGCAGACGCGCGCGTCGTCGCGGGCGTATGCCGAAAACCTTCAAAACCCATCGGTTCCGGAAGGATTTCAAAATCGAATGTCCAAAAAACGTACAAACAACCCACGGTTTCGCAACACGGATTTTCAACAAAAGCGTGCGCGCACGCGCTCTTGCGTCGTCGTAGTCGTCGTCGTCGTCGTCGCCGTCCTCCGTCCTCCCGCGTCGTCGTCGTCGTCGTCGTCGTCGCTTACGTCGTCCTCTGTCTTTTCTCGTGTTCGTCGTCGTGGTCGTCGTCCTCTTTGGCGTCGTGGTCGTTTCCGTCGTCGTTGTCGCCATGGTCGTCCGTCCTCCTCCTCCCACGTCGTCGTCGTCGTCCGTCGTCGGCGTCTCGTCGTCGTCCCTCCTATTTCGTCGCCGTCGTCGTCGTCGTCGTCGTCGTCGTCGTCGTCGTCGTCGTCTTCCCTCCTCCCTCGTCGTTGCCGTCGTCGGCGTCGCCGTCCTTCCTCCTTCTTCGTCGTTCGCGTCGTCGCCGTCCTCCCTCCTCCCTCGTCGTTGTCGTCGTTGTCGCCGTCGTCGTCCTCCCTCCTTCCTCGTTGTCTTCGTTGGCGACGTCGTCGTCGTCTTCGTCGTCGTCGTCGGCGTCGGCGTCGTTGTCGTCTTCGTCGTCGTCGACGTCGACGTCGTCGTCGTCGCCGCCGTCGTCGTCGTCGTCGTCGTCGGCGTCGTTGACGTCGTCGTCGTCGTCGGTGTCGTCGTTGTCGTCCTCGTCGGCGTCGTCATCGTCGTCGTCGTTGTCATCGTCGTCGTCGTCGGCGTCGGTGTCGTCGTCGTCGTCGGTGTCGTCGTCGTCGTCGTCGTTGTCGGCGTCGTCGAAGTCGTTGGAGACGTCGTCGGTGTCGTCGTAGTCATTGTCGTCGTCGTCGTCGTCGTTGTCGCTGTCGTCGTCGGCGTCGCTGTTGTTGCCAAGTGCCATGTGGTACCCACCGTCACGGTCTCAAGAGATTTTGCAAACCAAGTTGCGGGTGGGTGGGTGGGATGTTTGCGCGAGCAGTGGAGTTGACAACTCACTGCGAACAGAAATTAATTGCAACACATAGATTGTACCACATACATTCTCCTTTCGAAAAAGAGAATACACTCTACCCCCCCAGACTTATCGCTTCCCCTTGAGATAGTATGATTTCATTTATTTTCTGCACACTCGTCCATCCTAAATATGAAATCATACCATCCCAGGCAGGCCGGGGTCCCCCCCCCTGAGGTTCCTTTGTGAAACAAACTATGCGGTGACATTTTTTCTTCTAACATCGCATTTTTTCACGAATCCCTTGCAAAAAATGGGACGAAGTGCGCACGCGCGCGTCGTCGCGCGCGCATGCCGAAATCCGTCAAAAACCTTCGGTCCCGGAAGGATTTCGCAATCGAGTTTCCAAAAAACATACAACAACACATGGTTTCGCAGCACTGATTTGCTAAAAAAGCTTCCGCGCGAGCTCTTGCGAAATCTTAAGGAAACCATAGGTTTTTCAAGATTTTCACAACATGCTACTAAACGGGCTTCGCGCGCGCGCATGTCGAAATCTGTCGAACGCCCTTGCGCGTGTGCCGTCGCGAGAATCCTCTGCAAAAAAATGGGACGAAGTGCAGACGCGCGCGTCGTCGCGGGCGTATGCCGAAAACCTTCAAAACCCATAGGTTTCGGAAGCATTTCAAAATCGTGCGTCCAAAAAACTTACAAAAACCTACGGTTTCGCAACACGGATTTTCAACAAAAGCGTGCGCGCGCGCTCTTGCGTCGTCGTCGTCGTCGTCGTCGCCGTCCTCCCTCCTCCCGCGTCGTCGTCGTCGTCGTCGTCGCCTACGTCGTCCTCTGTCTTTTCTCGTGTTCGTCGTCGTCGTCCTCTTTGGCGTCGTGGTCGTTTCCGTCGTCGTTGTCGCCGTGGTCGTCCGTCCTCCTCCTCCCACGTCGTCGTCGTCGTCCGTCGTCGGCGTCTCGTCGTCGTCCCTCCTATTTCGTCGCCGTCGTCGTCGTCGTTGTCGTCGTCGTCTTCCCTCCTCCCTCGTCGTTGCCGTCGTCGGC